TCTAAAGAGACCAGAAGCACAGCAACATCCAAAAAGAGAACAGTTGATAAAAGTCCAGAACTAATGAAAAATATGAATGCACAGACATAGAAAGCAAGCAGGAAAAAAAAAAAAGAAAGAAATCCATACCTAAACACAACTGTAGTGAAAATACAACACCTAAGAAAAAGAGAGAATCTTAAAAAGAGACAGAAAAGATTGCCTACCTACAGGCAGATGACTTCCGAACCAAAACAATGGAAATCAGTAGACAATGGAATATTACCTTCTGAGGAGAGAAAGAAAATAACCATCAACTAAGAAATGGAGACTGAGCAAAGCTATCTTTCAAGAATAAGAGCAGGGGGCAAGCCCAGTGGCACAGCAGTTAAGTGCGCATGTTCTGCTTCGGCGGCCCGGGGTTCACCAGTTCAGATCCTGGGTGCAGACATGGCACCGGGTGGCAAGCCATGCTGTGGTAGGCGTCCCACATATAAAGTACAGGAAGATGGGCACCGATGTTAGCTCAGGACCAGTCTTCCTCAGAAAAAAGAGGAGGATTGGTAGATGTTAGCTCGGGGCTAATCTTCCTCAGGGGGATAAAAAAAAAGAATAAGGGCAAAATTATTTTCAGGTTTAAAAAAGAAAGTTTATGACTGACAATCCTTCACCAAAAGAACTTCAAAGATGTTCATGAGGAAAAGGGAAAATGATGCCCGAAGGAAAGTCTGAGATGGAAGAAGGAATGGTAAAAAAATATAATAACTTAAAAATGATGTGGCTGATTCTAAACAACCTGAGGTTTATAAAATAAAAAAGAAGAGTTAATGGTGGCATGTAGGTCAGAAGGGAAGTAGACGAAGGTAAAGACGTTTTTTCTCACAACAGATTGTACTGCACACCCACTTTGGAGACTAACGGTGTAGACTATAGATAGATAGATATTTAGCTAGAGCAGACAGAAATGCCGGCTGCTATCATTTCAGAAACCTTAAAGACATGAGCCATGCCATAAAGAATTTGTAAGTTTGCAATAAGGGGAAAGGAGCAGGGTACGCCAAACGGGAAAAATAGCAAAGGTTCAGAAGTAGAGATGAGCATGGCATAGCTGTTCTTCCTCTAATAAAGTATCGTATCATTTCACATGTTCTTTGAAAATCTCTAAGACAAAAACAAAACAAACCAAAAAACTACCTCCAAGGAGGAACCACATGAGCAGAACAACAGTGGAAGATGTCAGAGATTCATTATTACCTTGGGCAGCTCACTTAACTTTCTGAAGGCTTCTGTCTCTCAGTGTGTAACATGTAACATCTACCCTTCCCAGTGTCACTAGTATATATTGATGACAAGTGAAAAAATTCAAAAGGGGAAGGCCATAGCACTGATCTCTTTCGTCTTATTACTAGTTACTGTGCTGGGTACTGGCAATACAGAATAAAAGAAACAAAGCAATTCAGCAATTACAATGCAGTGTGACAGGTCCTGTGACACATGAGGGATGCACATGCTACTTGAGCAAACCCAAGGATGGTGGCAAAGCCATGCATGCTTCCCTCTTGCTTGTTCCCACTATTAACAATGGCTCCCATTGGGCAAACTACTGATGGCCACTTTAGTTACACTAAGTACTTGTCATCCCAGTGAGTTTCAGATCTATGAAAAGAATCACCGCCAAGAATTTCGTTATTAAAAATTTCAAAATAAATTTAACAAAAGTCCATTTTAAAACATCCCAAGAAGGAGGCAAATCAATTTTCTTCATGCTGATCAAAATTTCACCACAGAAAGCTAGTCTAGACATTTTGGATCCATAAAAATTAGCATAATCAGAGTTTTTCCAAAACATGAAAAAAAATTCTTTTTTGCTTCATTTCAAAGCACATAACAGTAATGGTAATATATTATCTATATGCATGCTGGAATTATCCAAATATAATCTAACAGAAGAAAGAAAAATATTTCAAAGGCTCATTCTTTTTCTGGACTTACACTCTACAAAATCAAACACACTTTGCATAAATGAATTCTATTCTCTGCAACATGTCTTTTCTACTGCGCTAGGAAGCATTACTGCTTTTCAACTTAATCATTGGTTGTTCTGTTGTATTTAGCCATTCGAGGCCTATTACCAATGCACACACAAATCCTTCATTTAAGAAAATACTCCTGAAAAAGAACACACAGAACCTTCTCAAAGAAAAGCAATTCTTCCTTACTCTACTACATCCAGTATTAGTAAACAGATCAGTGCTATAACATTCCTCTCTGGAATTTTTAAATTTAGCTTGAATATACATTAGCGACGTGGGCAAGGCTACATGATGAATATTCCCAAGGATACAAAATCCAAATATGTTCATGTATGACTAAACAAATTTTTATATGAACTGCAAATGACAATAAAATACAAAGACGGCTTTTTAAATTCCATATTTGTTTAAATTAAAACATTTCTAGCAGTAGTAAAATGTTTTTAGTTATGTCCTCAATATTCCAAAAGACTTAGAAGCCTTTAAAAGTCATATGAATCTAAATTTTCACAACCATTTTTTTAAACATGTCACTGTAACTGAAAACGACTACAAACAAATGTATGTTTTGATTGCCATACTGGCATTAATAAATTAGCTAACAAGCAGGTGTGTGACTTTATTTCATTGCTGAGAGGTAAGAAAGAATGGATAATGACATTTACTACCAACCAGGGAATAAAGAGAGACACCAACAGTGGTTTTATAGGCATCACTGGTGGTCCCTTTGATAAACACCTACGGCACTTCTAAACCAATTTAGCCCTACTTACACAGCATTTTCTACTGTACACTCTTTGGGATTATATCTACCTTTCCTATAAACTCCTTGAGGGGAGAGTCTTATCTTAAATACTACTTCCATATCCCTTCCAGCTCAAACACAGAGCTCAGCGCATACTTACTGACAAATTAAGAGCACAGTACTATAGATATTTTCCACAGCAATCAGGAGAAAATCAGGATGTGGGTAAAGTAACGTAAATGGAGGTATAAGTTATGTACAACACAATGACAACATTGGGACAAGATCATAAAAGTGACTTTGAAATAACACGGTCAGAAAGAGAGCAAATGCGTTTACACAGCATAATCATTTTCACAAGGTACAATAAAATTTAACACACTATTATTACTTAGCTTAAAAATCCTTTTTCTTGGTCTTCCATGCGATGCTGCATTTTCTACTATTCCTTGCTGCACATTTCTATAATGCTATCTCATGTCTGTATACAGTACCTTACTCACACAAGTATGGAATGAGCTATACTATTCAAAATCCAAAGGAAAATAAAAACAATGTGTTTTTCTACCCTTGCTGGGTTAACACACACCGTGTTTTGCAAATAAAAACAAAGGTCATCATCTGTCTTTTCATTCACACTGAAATGACACACTGAATGACAGGAATTTTTTTAGAGTTCCTATTAGAAAAATTCTGTACCAACTTGGCTTTAAAATCAACTTTAATCAAATGTTTCATCTCTTTCTCATCTTCTTCAATCTCTCAATCAAAATTACATACAATTATATTTTTTGAAATAGTTATGATGCAAATTAAGTTACAATTTACGATATCAGCAGCCTTACACTATCTTTACCATTTTAAAGGCACCACACGAGGGAGGACAAAAGCATACTTTGAAACACCTTCCTAGCCTTTAACAATAGTCTCTTACTAGAACTTCTTCTCCCTTCATATAATTATATTAAGTTTCTGTGCCCCCCTACTCTCCAAGATGAAATAATCTGTTTATCCCTCCCTCCAACACTTCAGAGAGGAGCTTGTATCTCTTCTCTCTCATGCCTTTTGTCTCAGAACAGCAAAGCACTTCATTATTTCATCTTACCAGCCCTACGAAGACAGTGGTACACCAAGAGCTGGAGAGGTGATGAACTAACTAGGCAACCAGAGAGATCTGGACAGCCAACCAAAACTTGGTACCCGTCTAGCTCCTTAAAATCAGTCAGAAAAATCAGCCAAGGCCCTATTTACAGGTCAGGAGGGTTTGGAAGACAATACAAAACAAAACAAAAAAAACCTTTCCCACCAAGGAACTCACATACACACACAATTGTACTTTTCAGAAGGTGGAAATACAGCTAATCTTGTTCTTTTTCAAGAGTTTAAACACTAGGGACATCTGCATCTAGATAAAAACTCCTGAGGGCAATTTGATCAAAGACACAGAAAATCCTTCCTTCAAAGAAACGCACCTTGTGACACTCCAAGAAGGAGGAGAGAGATTTAAAGTAAAACCTGCCCTGAATTCTTGCCACTGGCTTCAGGAAAAGAATAAAAAGCCCTGGGCTTCACAGGGCTTTGAAACATTTTGCTGTAACCCCAGGGCCACGGAAGCTGTTGGTGAAATTCTTGTACTCATCTCTGAGGAAGAGTATCACAGCGATGCAAACTCACATACACAGACACACACATCCATCTCTACTACCGTTCTCGTCCCTTCCACTCCCGACCTTCCCCCTTGGGTGCTCACGACCCCAAACGTGGACACGATGCTACAAAAAGCAAAGTCATGGGGCAATGCGGGGGAGACGGGGGTGCAAAGGGGTGAAAGAACCAGAAAAGCAGGGGTGGCCGAGGTCGTCAGCTGGCTTGTCTGTTATCGGAAAGCAAACAGTCGGGTGGGGAAAGGGAATGCCGAGGTAGAAAGAAAGCAATCCGCGATGCCCACTCTGCCACCTCCTAGCTCTCTGCCCTCCATCACCCCAGCCTCTCCTGGAGGACCACCTCCGAGGAGGACAGGGCGCCAGTGACATGCCCCACCTTTACCCTTGAGGGGCAAGCAGCGAAATGAGCTTGCAAAGAAGCCTGGGGGCTGAGAGGGGGGCCAGGGGCACCCGGGCTCCAGGGGGACGCCCTGCCGCGCGGGGACCGCCCTTGGGCCAGGGGGCGGCCCACGCGGAGGGGCAGCGGGGCTCGGAGGAGGGTCTCGCCCCGCCGCTGCCCGGGAGGCTCCGGCTACTCACATTCTCCGTGTCCCGCTCGTTCACCGTCGGCAATGGCGTCCGGGCCGACATTTTGTGCGGGCGCCGGGGTCGGGCCGGGGGCTCGCTGGCCGCGCGGGGCTGCGGGCGCCGGGCCGAGGGGCAGCGGGCGCCGAGGCGGGCGCGAGGCCGGGCCCGGGCCGGGGCGAGCGGCTCCCGCAGGCCGCGGGCGGGGCGCCGGGCGCGGAGACGGGGCAGAGGACGCGGAGGAAGAGGAGGGGGAGCCGCTGCCCGCGGCGGCGCCGCCGGGGGCCGCGGGCGGCGCGAGGGAGGGCTCGGGGCGACGGCGGTTGCGGGCGCGGGCCGGCCGGGATGCGGCGGGCAGGGAGCCGGGGGCGGCGGCCGGGCCCCGCTAGGCGGCC